AGCATGCCGTCCTTAAAAAATCTTTTGATCCATCCTGCAGCACGATTATTATCACGATGCACATAAGCTTGAAGGGTCTTTATGTATCGAAGCACCAATGATTCATTAAGGAATAGAGTTAAGCGTGTTAACTGCAGATTTAGAAAAAGTGGTACTATCGAGGATAGTAAAATGTTTACCCAAACGAACCCTCTTCCATAAACGCCTTGCCTTCAATAACCATATGTATCAACCGTGGAATCGAAACAAATCGCAGGTTTGATTGATAGGTAGGAGACGTGTTTAGACGGAAAAGCTATTCCCGGATTCGTTCTGTTTCAATATCAAGCTTTACAAGAAATGATTAACACGATTAGTCAAACTGCAATCTATTTACTATCGGCAATGTTGAGAAAATAAATAATTTCTGGCTAGCTAAGTAACACAGTCGTACAAAACAGCTGTGATAATCGTTCTGGCATTGAGCCATGCGTTCGATAATAACCAAATATTTGAAGAAGCACATTTCTAACAGTGACAGCAATGGAACTAGAATCCTTGCCAAAACGTTGGTGCTCGTGAATAGTTTTTTTTGACTTGTTCGTAAATACAAACCACTGCATGCGAAAACATCTTCTTCATATTTCCTGACACTGCTTTAAAGGGACCGGTGAACTATTTTTTTCTCTTATTTTGCTTAATAAAATATATATGCAGAGAAACCCCTTCGGCGATATAGCACCTGCTTGTTTCAATGAACCTTGCTGACACTTTGTTTTAACTTACTTAAATTAATTAATTTTCTGTTTAAATTTGGAGGCCTTACATTTATATTCGCGCTACTTCCTGCTACGCTCAACGTGACAATGGACAAGCAATGAAACACACCCATTTTTAAAATTAGTGTGACATTACGAAGACATATTGCCATTGATAAACTGTATCAGATTATATAGTAAGATAGCTTTTCTAAAATAGTACGGTCTGTCCGTCTGCATATTGCTAATAAATATACAACGTCATGTGCAAAACGTCTTGTGTCCAGAACAGTGAACCAAAAAGTAAAGCACTCGTCAGAATCGCCTTTAAAATCATCTGAAAAGTCAACAACGAACGAAAGAATAAAAACACAATAATCGGAACGGAACCAAGAACTGTACAGGAAGACGGTAGCTCTAACACAGTAAACGAAAGGAGTTGTATAAGTACAAAGGGTATCGCCCGGCGGTCGGTCACTGACGCATTTCGATTTTCTCGAAATACTTCTTTGCATTATGTATATTGATGAGCGTAGCAGCGGAAGCTGAAAAAAGTAGTAAAAGAAGTAATATATGATCAGAATGTGACTGCCTCGTCACATACAAACTGAGGAGTCCGAGAGCACCACCAACACATATGTGTTTGCCGTGAAGTCGTCGATATACGCCGCAAAATTGGAGTTCAGAATCTCCATACTGGAGAAGTGAGTTCCGAGTTTGCTACAAAATAAAGGCAGTCAAAATAACTTAAAATATTCAATATAATTGTATAACATAATGAAGCACAATTCTATAAATATTCCAGTACCGTAGCTGTTCAAATCTCACGCCAAGATCGCCCTAACTTCCATATTGAGATGAAACATAAGGTAAGAACTCGTACTAAAGACAATCGAGCAGCGTTTACAAAGGCTTACTATTCAGTGGTCGAATATGGCGTATGATATTTCTACAACATAGACAGCAGTAATGTTCAAACTTTAAATACTTTCAATAATGCATTAAATTAAAGTCAATAAAACAGCATACATAGTGTCATTTATAATCAATGCCGCTTAAAGCTTAAATACCCCTCTCCCAGACAATTATGAAGAAGGGGGCGGTTCAATACGCCGTGATAACTTATCTTGGAGGAGTCATTCAT